TACTGCTACTGCCTACTGCTCCAAGTGTCAGTGTTCGACTAGAGTAGCGAAACACGTGGGAATTCAAGCCAAAAAGGCTTCATGAAACGTTCAAGGGAGTTCGTCCCTCTTTACTCAAAGCGAAACGGTCAGGAAGAGCAACTCGTCCGCTGGGCGCGGCGTCAATTGCCACGCCCACCAGCCCAGTATGAAACGATTGTCTTGTCACATACCCAGGAGTGGGAGGACATAGTGGCCACGAAACGGGAAAAACCCGAATAGGTCAACAACCGGAAAAAATATTTTCGCGGCTCCAAAAAACAAAACCGTGCGCCCGCCAGTGACGTCATTAGAACAGAAATGAGCTGTAGTCACTTGCCCATCACAACAACACATAAGTTACCATAACTAACCTAAAGATTTATATATTTTCATATCTTATTTTGCTACTATCACCATTCATTCTACACCAACCGGTAGAAAGATATGACGGTAAAAATATAAAATATCACAATCGGGGGAAATTTGGGGTACACAAATAGTACAACCATGACGAATACTAATAACCAGAAAACAGTGAGTCACTTGGCGCAATAGATACCTCCGCTGATATCACTAGTATATCCCTAGGACCAGTACAGTTATTACAGTCAGAAAAACAACGCAGTATTAACCAGTAAAATGATGTTAGTTATACGTCCCTAAATGAGTACCCTCACTTCTCAAAGACTACTGGGGAACGAAGCAGGCAGGGAAAACTTCTGCACCAAAGACTATCTGTTGGAGCCTTTTCGCTTAGGCATTATAAGCATTACTAGTAACTCGTCCACCATGACCAGTCCAGTTCGTATGCACCCATTTGCCTGGTGAATCCATCAATTCATACGTATGCGCACCGAAGTAGTCACGTTGTGCCTGTATTAAATTCGCCGGCAGCACCTGAAAACTATCACATCAACAATATCATAACAACTGAAGAAGGACAAAGTCAGGCGCAACTATACTACGGAAACGCGGTGGAGAAGGGGGGGGGACATTCCGTTAACTCCTCTAAATCCCTAGAAACTACGAAATGCTACCAGTTTGATTTTCAGACAACTTTTGCACAAGAAAATGGTCCAAGCGCCCCAAGAATTCATGCCCTGAGCACTACCAAAAATTTTCATCCCTGGTTCAAAATCTTTTTCTGGCTCTTTCTCTAGCGCCAAATGCTGTCCGATTTTCCGAATCCAAGTCACTGACCTGCACTCGTTCCTGCTGTCAACACTAGGCATGTTAGAAAGGAGAGCCTGCCTATCGCACACAACTGCCTGCAACCAAGTGACAGCAACTGATGAAAAGACGGCGCTGGTCGGTACGCTGCAGATTTCAGCCGCCGCTGATACGCTTCGGCACTGCAGCGTTTGCAACAGTGATGAGAAACCAGGCTTACACTACGCACGCATTCCACAAGAGTTAACAAGCTTCTAACACAAAATCAGCACGCAACAAATTGGCAAATTTCACATCTTCACCTCGATCCTCAAAGGCAGCGGGAACGATTGGTGGGGCGGGCCGTTGCTGTCAACGTCATTGCTGGGAGTCCGGAGTGGGAGATGGCTAGAAGCAATCCCTCAGCTCTTCCACCGATGAAATGACGTGACATCGATCGTCAGAGTCGTAGGTACAGTGGAAAAGGAAAAGGTCAGGGCCGCTTAGTTCTGAGCAAAGGGTGTGAACCCGGGTTATGGTGAATAACAGGAACACAGATTTTTACACTGGGACCAGAAACTACCCTGGAATTTTTCGAATACCATTCTCTAGGGGAAAAATATGCAAAATGCGACCCCTCCTCCCCTTTTGGTACGACTCCCTTCTCCATACACCATCCTTCCCCCCCCCCTCAAATGCCCCTTTCAGCCAATCCTCTCATCTTCCTAAATTCTCCCCAACTTCCTAACACTCGTCCAGAAATTTTTTTTCTATGAAAACCTTGTTTTCCCCTAAAGTTCGCCGTCGAATAGGGGCGAGGGAGGGGAAGGGGTACGCGCGCGTGAAATGGGAAAACCGAAAAAGGTCAACAACCGAGAACATTTCCACTCAAAGGGGAATATTACCCGCTCCCTCCTTCCCTCCCTCCACCGATCAAATACGACCCCCCCTGGAAAAGAAATTTCCAACGCACGACGTGCCCTGTCAGCAAAGCTTCTACAGTCACCTTGTGAAAACCTGTAAATTCCTGTAGTGACAGTGACGCATCCCGCAACGTGCGCGAAGATGTCGCAAGAAAGAAACATTCGCGGCGTCCGACGCGAAGGTGCGCGTGCGCCTTATACAAAGGTGCGGCTTATACAAGAACAAAGATTACTGCGTAGAAATCAACAACAGACGTCGACACTCACCTTCCTTGAGTACCCATCATAGAAAGCCAATGCTGCTGACATAGCCGGAACCGGGATGCCCAATCGGATTGCTGATGTCACAACAATACGCCAAGAGTTCTAAAAAAAAGCACTAACTAGGAAAGCCACTCCAAAATTATCACACAATTCAAGGAACCTGCGCATCTCCCATCGCTTTTGAGAAGAAATCATCCAACAGTACATTCTGCAAGTCCTTCTTCTTGTCAAACGCCTTCTTAATGTCTCCCAGGAATCTGAAACAATTGTAATTTGTTGTTTGAACTCCTGGGAAAGGATAAATCGTACGCTCAGCCAATCTAACCTTGATCTGATTATGCATCCTCCCCTCCACATTAGGGCGATAGCGCCAAAGTTTAGTTTCCAATCGAATTTCCGGCTTGCCTCAGCCATCAGCATGAATCCTTGGGCATAGCTGACAATCTTCGAAGCGTATAGGGCCTAAACACTTGGCTGTATTACGTACGTAAAAATTCTCTAAAATCTTAACAAATGCCGACCGCCCTTTTACCCAATGAATGACACAGTCCACGCTGGTCGGATGGGCGGGGTCAGACGTACAACTGCGGCCTCCTAACTGGCATTTTCCACCTTTTTTGGTATCAGAATG